TTGGATACGGAAGACAAAGAGTTAAACAAAGGTTGGGATATCTGAGCAGTGGCCCAATGATCACTACCCACCCCGCTCGATGCAATGGGCAGCGCGGTCCTGATCATCTTGAGCGACGACCGATGCAGTATGAAATTATTTTTTGTTTGCGTTCATTGGAGCTTTATGGACGGGTACTGCCAGGGTATCAACCCACTACGCAGGAGAACGATTAGGGTTCTCAACTAAAGCCTTTAGTTTCGACAAAAGCCTAACCGCAAGGCAGCGGTTAAGACNGCCCATTAGCTTGGATCAATTATTCATCCAACACGTTTTATCGACTGGGACGCCGACTTAAGTCGAACCCCCAACCTGGAGGACCAGGAGACTGGACTTCGTCTGACCTCTACCCATTGACCTTCCAGGCATCATTAGATCTTTGGCTCCATAAAAGCCATCCTGTGTAGCTCCTTGGGTTATAGAGGTGCACAAGCCATCACACCACGTCAAGGTGCAGTCTCGTCGTGGTGGGAATACACAATCACACAACAAGAAAGGCGAACAGATTGGTAAAATGAATGAGTCATGATAATATACAACTGGCAAAACAGGATCAAATTCGTTCGAATGATTCGGTCTGGAAAGACCCATGCGATCAGGGGACGGGGGAATGTAGTTTCAAACGCAGTTTGATTGGTTTTATCAAATTAGGGGAACGGTTATAGCTCACAGTCTAACGGAAACAATGAGATTGCGGAAGGTAATGGACTCGTTCGGAGTCTAACAAACAAGTCCCGCCTACCTGTTGTTGACGGTGGCAATATGCTCCAAAATCAGGTACAAAACAGCTGTTAAGGAACCATGAACAATAAAAAAAATCATATTTGGAATTAAAAAGGCAACGGATCGATTGATGAAACCACATACAATAAAGACAAATCAAAAAGAACTTAATATCAGGCAACTGGAGCGGAATGAACAAATTCGCATTCTGCTGCTTAGCTAGAACAAAAGAATTCACTGAATGCCAAGATTAAGAGTATACAAAGAGGGCAACAGTGATATGCTTGTGCCTCTTGAAGCCGATGGGGGGGGGAGCTGAGCGATACTAGTTAGTCTGACGATAGGGGTTTTTAGAACTGTGCCTTGCATTACGTCATACACTGTCATTACTGAAGAACATCATGAGGGAAAGAACGTCGTCTAAGGAACGTAACACAGGCCCCGATAATCTGTGAGACTGGCGTCCAGGCAATCTGATGAGCTCGTCCGGTTGAAAACCAATCGGTGAAAATAACTATGATTTTATTAAGATAGTTAAATTCTTTCTTGGAGTGAGCAGTACAGTGCATCAACGCGGAGCGGGCGTGCCATTGCGCTTGAGCAGATGACAGGGAACATTAGATCAATAACTCTTTATTTCGTTCTGTGCCTCACAGGTCACCAAAATGATTGTCCTATTTTAACAACAATGATGGTCCGATACGCTGATCCAAATATTACAGGATAGGGTTGTGTGTGGACCAGGAATTGGATGGTGATCAAATAACTGATTACCGTGGGCTTTGACTGTCGCTGTCCAGTCGATTGTATTCCTAAGATCGAGTTGTTTTACAAGAAGAGATGTGTAAAAGCCACCGATTTATTGTCCCTTTCTGGAAAACGGAGACAAACAACCCATAGTGTTCTTTTTGTTTAGATTCTGGAAATGTTTTCTACAAATCACTCAAACACCGAACGTAGATCGCACGAAATTCAGACGGAGGAATGAATATGTGGTAAACACTGTATCGATTATCTCCTAAGTCTGAATGATTTTCACATGGGAATTGTTTATACACAACCTAGGGTAGATTCACAATGATGCTTGTAAGCAGCTTGGATACTATGGTAACCAAACTAATGTTTCAATCAATAGCTTCCATTTGGTGACATTTTTCATTGTCTGAAAATATAAAAAAAACATAATCCATATACACAATCATAAACAGAAGTTAAGTCAACACTAACACCAAGTTTGAGTTCACGGTAGGGCATGGAGACAGAGAACCCGTCCGCTACCACAGTAAAACTACACAGACCGGTAATTGTCCCGGGTTGGGGAAATGATCATCATAGACGGTTAGTATTTTGATTCACCTGAACAGTTTCAAGGCGACGGTGATGCGCATAACTGAGAACACGTCACTAGCAATACCAATTCAACTGTTCAAATGTAACGTAGCATGAGACTTCCACAAAGGACGACCAGAAACTGTGCAAACAACGAGGATGACCAGCTCGTTTAGGTCTTCCCCCAACCAACCAAATACAACTCTGTCAGTCAGTAAGGATGTATGCAACTTTTGTCTGGTCTCCTAATTACTTTTATTCCAGTATTTCAACATTTAGACTGACTGCAGAGTGCACACGTACAGACGCACCCCAACATGTTCGGGATACGTTGAGCAAACCACTGAGATTGCCTTGCTAATTCAAATTTCGGTCTCACATCTTTTATTTCCGAGTTGAGCTCCATTTCAGATATAGAACCAATCCTCATCTGTGCTGCATTTGAATTTGTGATCTTTGAGTTGAGACGCAGCAACGATCAAAGTCAACCCCCAAGTGACCACCGGCAAGTACAATAAGGTGATCAAAGCATTTGTCCAATACTGCACTTATTGACTTGTGTCGAGATCAGCGTGAAACATCCCACAGAAGATGAGTTGCTGAAGCATACAAGGTCTCAGCTGGGAGTGATATTGCATAACACCGTCCGGATTGAGGCCCAAGATCACGGCTGTCGCCTCATTGAAGGTGTCAGAAATAGTGTTTCGCGGAANTCCCCAGTATGAGTTTCAGTTTCAGTTGATCTAACCATTAATCACACACTTTCTTTTGGCTGACAATTTGGATTAAACAGTAGGATAAAGGTAAGATGAGTGAGAGTAAGATCGAGGAGAAAATAAGGAATTCCAGTAGACCGAAGTTGCAAATAAATTGAGAAGATGCTCGGGCGCCATTGCTTACGACACCCAACCAAATCACTCAACGCCTCTAACCCTTGATTACAATGATCCCAAGGTCCACTGCAAGGGTGCCCAACGGGATGCATGTGACCGAGTCTCCTGGTCAGGGTTTTCATACCTTCATGCCAGGTCTGGGTTTGACCACCCTTGTCTTTTTTCCCCCACTACCTACCTTGATAAACATCGCGCGTCGATGCAACTCATTAAATAGCATGCTGAACACGTGCCCCAATCAATGTAATGCACGGGAATCGACAACTTGCTTAAGCGGGCAACCTAAAACTCTACGCCCAACTTCAGCATTGCTCGTCCGGTTGCATCATCAGATTCGTGTTCAAACACCGATAGCCTTTTTGTATCCTGTTTTCTTAATGGCCACATTTCTGCGCAGTATAGCAGAACTAGCCTAACTGCCCCGGCATACACTGAACGCTTCACAGACAGCCGGATGTCACGACGGTGACACAGATATCTCAAGTTTTGCAAATACCAACCGAGTCTTTTGTAGGTATGCCAACACTTCAACCATGATGCGTCTGCCGGGTGAGATATAGCTGCCCAAATAATGAAACTTGTCCTCTGCTACCTTTCAGTTAGATTGAGATTAGGAGCTGGATAAATCCAGTTTTGTAGTACCATTTTACACTTAGAAGGTGCAAAACACAGGCTGAACACGGCTGCACTAGCACTCAAACCAGCCAGAGAAGCTTGAAACTTACATGGATATTCACTTATCAACACCACGCGGTCTGCATACTGCAGATCAGACAGTCTGCACCCGGAAGAAGCTGGATGCTACTATTCTCGCTGCTCGATAATCAAATCTATAACATAGTTAAACAGAAAAGCGGAAAAAGAGGACAATCCTGACGAACACGACTTTATGTGTTGAACTCAGTGAAAAAGTGACGTAAGCCCCGATTCGGCTATTAGTAAAAAGGAATCGTAATAATGTGATAAACTTCTCGGATTGATCCATCAAAGAGAGGAAGCGCCAGAGTATAAAGCAATCAACTGAATCGAAGGCCGCTTTGAGCTCGAGGGAGATAGAGATGGTGGGTTTACGAGAGGAAAGTCGGTGCTCTAGAATTTGGCGAAGGGTGGAGATGTGGTCGACAC